TCGCAACTTTTAGCATCTCATGCTTAATGCTAACTAGGCTTTCTCCCTGCACTAACTCAGTCTCTTCCTCAATGCTCTTCCTGCTGCTACCTTCCCCAGGTCCCTCCTCCTTCCCCCCACACCCCACATCCCCCCCCCCCCCCCCCAAAAAAACACACAACCTGCATTTCTTTTAGCCGCCAATAGAGTCTACTGCAGGTGGGACTTGCAAGAACAAATGACCTTTGCACACAGGGGCCCAGACCTCCACCCGGTTCTGCTCTGCATCCCCAGGCTCTGTGTGTGGGCCCGGCTCCCCCATTCATCTCAGCAGATCAGTCCTGACTGAGTGACCCTGCCATTTTGCCCAGACCACTGTCTTACCTTGGCAATGGGTAGGCCAGGTTCATGGGTAGGCCAGGTTCATGGCCGTGGACAAAATGCCTGTTCTGCTGGCTGCCAAGCAGTTTTACACGTGTAGTCTGTGCTCCTAATGAGGTTAAAGAGCCTTACCTCCCAAGTGACATAGTTGGCTAGAGGCAGCGAAGCAGCTCACCCCATTGCCAGGCCCGAGACCGTGGCTTATTCATTTTGGTGTCCCACATCTGACTCAGCAGGGGACCAAGGAGGCACCGAGTCAATGTTTAAGGAACTAATAAACCTTAAAGGGAGACATGGCCACACAGAATGTGCAGGACATTTGGTGGCAGAACACCTGGATCCCAGGCAGGGTTCTTCGTGACCTCAGGCAACTCATCTGCAAAATGATACCCGGAACCCCTCGGGCATGTATGTGAAAGTCCTTTGCTCACTGTAAAGGGCTGGTGTGTATAGGTTTCCCGAGATGGCCCTGCTCCTTTTCCTACCTGGGAGAAAGGAGCCAAGGACATGGAGAATTGATAAGCTAAGAATGGAGGTCAGGTCTGAAATTCCAGAACTAAGCTCCCAGGAAAACTGGAACTGGGCCTAGAGGACTGATCATATTTCATAGTGGGTGTGTGTTTGCTGCTTTGCACATGGTTCTCAGGCTCTGTTTGGTATGGAGGTGCTTTGCCTCAGCCAGACCTAAATGAACGCATGTCAACTGTTCTGGTGGGTATAAGAAGGTTCCTGACGAGGGGAAAGGATCTGGAAAACTTCTGGCATTCTGTACAATGAAGGGAACCAAAGTTCTGCCACCCTGAAGCTGCCTTTTTGGGATATTGACTTTAAGCTGTTGATTAATACACAAAACTCAGAAAGAACCTTTGACCTTCCCCCTCTTTCCTGCCCCAGAGATTCAGACAGAAAAACCTGCTTAGGAAGATCTTAGGATATTCAGCTCAGGCTTATTTGAATTAAGTATGGTCAGTAAGAGGCTTTCGGCAGGGGCCTGTTAGCTAGAACCCCACTGTGTTCCATGGTTACTCAGTCACCTAGAAAGAATTTTCCTGCCATGTGTGTACCCTCTTCAACTATGCCCACTCTCGCTTCTGAAATCTAATACCCCATCTCCTCACCAACCCCCTTTTCTCCTTTATACCAAATGTCTTCTATACTCCACGCTGCCTGTCTTTGTAATATCCATTCCTAAGTGAATTCCCCATGCACACGGATTAAAACTTTGATTTTCTCCTGTTAAACTGTCTCTGCTAATCTGATTATTAACTCAGCTAAGAACATAGAAGGTTGGAGGGAAAGTCTTAATTTTTTTCGCCCCCACAATAAGGGACTGAACATGAGTGACCTGGGGCAAGAGGCGCCTCAGCACCAGGCCTCTGCCTTCAGGGGCAGCAGCACTCACGGCCACAGGCGGGCGGCTGTGGGGAAGGGCTGCCAGAGCCTGGTGGTCCAGGAGGGCCTCCTGCTGCAGGAGGGGGGCGGACTGGAAGCCTGTCAGCACTTCCTAAAGTTAGCGCGTTTTCTTATCCTTTATGGAGCACGTATTCTTATCCCCTATGGAGCACCCACCCTCCACTGCAAAATCTTTGTCAAAATGCCCAAGCCCCTTCCCTGGCTGCAGCCTTTGAGCTCTCTAGGTGGTAAGGCAAACAGCAAGTGAAATCCTCTTTCCTCCTCCCCAAGAATTGTGCATTTAAGAAAAGTTCATGTGAAAGTAGTCAGAATTCTTGCTTCCACCCGCAGCTCCTGTCGAAGAGAGATAAAGCACTAGGTCTGAAGTCTACAAAGTCGATGCTGCTCTTAACATTCTACTTCTAACATTCTCTTTTTGGGGTGCAGGTGGAGATGAGATGGGTGGAAAGATGAGAGACGAAAGAAGAAATAAACAAGAGAATGAACTAAAGGCTTCAGCTCATCCTGGCCTCACAGCAGAGCCCCGCTAGGTGGCGAGGGCCCAGGAGGAGAGGACGGCAAGACTTGGGACTCCTCCCTGAAGATCTCTTCTCTCCAGAAGTCACTCTACCCTGGCAGCTCAGAGAGGAGCGAGGCCAAGCCCACAAGCCTCGGTATCCATGCAAATCAGAGGGTTTCAGGAGAGTCCGTAGAAAAGACTCGACAATCTGGCACCATGGGCCAAAATGGGCTGCCCCAAGTCATCGGGTTAGTCTCAAAGGGTAAAATAAAGGAAGAAAATGTTTCTATTTTCAAATTCTCCCTTCACTTAAAGAGCGTCTTTGGGTGTGGCTTCCTGTGGCTGATAATAGAGACTCTCCTGAGGTCTCCAGGAGCTTAAGCTGAGAAGGAATGAGAAGCCATGGGGGGCGCGAGGGACAGAGTAACAACAACAGTGCATGGGCTCCAGGCCAGCGGCAGTGAATGGGCCCATCCTGACCACATGTGCTAGGAATAGCAAACAGATAACCAAAGGGAGTGGGGATGGGAAGAGATCTCACTTCCATCATTGAGAAAAGAATGAGGCCTGGCAGGGAGGGGCCTGCTCCAGGCTCCCCCTTTGAATGAGGTCAGAATTAAAACCTCAGCCTCAACTCTTTGGAGAAGAGATACTGTATTACTCAAGAGGAATATTTGAGTTTATAAAATGGGTAAGAGGTCAAAGGCACATTCGTGACCCAGACTTCTGCAAGTGATACTGGTCAGATAATATCAGATAATGGCCTTGAGCATGTAGGTTACCACAGTGTCTGGCACAAAACCCTTGTTGAATGAATATATGGATAAATGGATTCAGAATGAGACTGTTTGACCTGAAGTAAGCAGATTACTGGAGACAAAGAGAGGGGTATGTGAAACAGGGACAAGTGAGTTTGTTTCCCATGTACCCAGAATATACCATGCCTCTAACCAGGGCATAAAGGGAAGAAGGAGGAAGGAGGGGAGAAGCAAGGAACATGTGTGTCCTCAGACTCCACCTGCCCACAAGATGGAACCCTGCAGAGGTGCCAGGCTATTCGTCAACAGGGCCATCAGCCAGAGATCTCAGATTATGGGGCGGGGACGAGAGGAGGGGGACAGGAGAAATGGCATGGACCTAAAATCAGGAGCACACTGTGGCAGTCACCAGAAAGCCTATCTCCTGGGCACCTGTTCGCAGCTTCAGAAGGGGCAAAGGGCTACAACCCTAAATTTGATGCTAATACACTGATTTGTCAAGTGGAAAAAAAGAAAGAAAGGGCAAAGGGCCAATGTTTTCTGAACCATGGTTTCCTGTCAACCCCAAGACTCTTAGAGCCACTTCTCGTCTTCACAGCACCTCCTCCAAGCGGCCTCCCTCCTTTGGCTTTCTTCCTTTGACCCAGGATCAGAACTCCAGCCTCCTCAGGGAATGGTGCTGGGCCTGGGCTCACGTAATTTGTCCAATGCAGAGAAATGCACACGTGACAGAGGAACTGTGGCCAAGGACAATACGCCTTACTGGGTCAGCGGTTTAACTGCCCTAACTGCATCCATTTATACACTTGTCTCCTCAGCATCGTGAGGAAGACAACCCACTTTCACTAGGGCAACTGAGCATGACAACAAACAGGCTAAAAACTCAACTGCTTGCTCAAAAACCTCTTTACATTTCTCCAAGCCCTTAGGCAGGAACACAATAATCTTAAAGAAGAAGCATTCTAGAGAGGAAATACAAGCAAAAAGAGAACAGAAGTCAAGGATAATTTTCTAAAACTGATGAGAAACAGATGTTTTGAGCAAAATATCCTGCTCGTAGGCCCCAGGCATCATGTCAGATGTTACTGGGAAGAAGAATAAAAGGATGCTAAAAGGCTTTGTGAAGGACACAAGCACAGAAATGACAAAGAGAAAATCTAGAGTCATTCAGAGAAATAAACACATGAACATACAGCCTCCTGACAGGGGGGCGTTTTGTTCTGGTGGCTGTGGCCTGGCACAGGGCATAGTGAGAGCATGGGTGTCGGGGCAGAGAGATGAGTCTGAACCCGAGCTCTACCACTCATGGCTGGGCGACTCTCTCTCTTTCACACACACACACACACACACACACACACACACACACACACACAGAAACTCACACACGGCCTAAATTTCCTCAAGACAACACCTCCAGAAGAGATCACAGAAGAACAGAATAAACATAGCTGCCATTACTAATTTTAGCTGCCATTATCATTTCATTGTTGTATTCTTTTAAATAAATTTAGTTCTAAATGCAGAAAAGAAATAAACCAGCAGATATAAAACCACACTACCATTCTAATCGTATAAGTTCCCCAGACTTTGGAACTCTCCCTGAGAATTTTAGACTGACAAGGTTCTCTACACAGAGAAAGCTACCCACATCCTTCACAAAAGGGCTCCCTCCCTAACCCAGCTCGATTAAACGGGAAAAGGAGACCCACTATCTTCCTAATTACAACTTCCCTGTGCTTGTGAATGAGGTTGGCTGCCTCTTTGACTGTATAAAGTGCACCCAGCATCCCAGCATCCACAATCCCAGAAGAGACTTTATGAAGAAGAGGTTTAATTTAAATCAGAGGGAAGAAGGTGGGAAATAGGCTTTGAGGCTTGAAATCCAAACAAACAGAATAACAACAAGGACGGAGAGGAGCTATAGACAGATGAACCGCCATTCAACAAATAGCTGCTCCATCCTAAGGTTCAATCATTCTCTGTCGTCACATCAGTTAGGAAGCAATGGCTGCCAACGCACTGGATGTGCATCCACAACTCCAGGGGGAGTGCCCGGTCTTCCTCTGCTCTGCCCTTTCATTTCCTGTCTCGGACCCACATCCTTACTTGGCCGCAGGTGACACAGGTTATGAGTCATTTACTGTCCACAGGAAGCCAAGAGCCACTGACCTCTCCATCACTGAGAAGACCTGTTAGTTTCACTCTGGGCTCCACCCTCTCTCTGGTGAACTGTCTTGCCCAAGTTTGCTATCAGGTAAAAAGAGGGTTTCAGGCAAGGACACAGAGGATATGAGATCATCCTCATTCCTGGAAAATAACTCTCACTTTGAGGTGGTTGAGTCATGAGCGCAGCAGGGAAATGGGACCAGATACCACTGAGCAGCAAAAAGGCAGGCTGTGCACATCTCTGCCGCACACAGAGAAAGAGAGAAGTCTCGGAGTCCCTGCTCCTTTAGATGGGGGGTATGGGAGGGGAGAGAAGTTAGGAATTAAGGGTGTTGATTTGGCAGAACAAATGGCAAACACTCTATTCTTCCTTCTTATTTGCAAATATGATAGACATGATCTTTGGACACGAAGACAATGGCATCCTAAGCATCTGAGAAAAGGCAACTAAGACGCTATTTGGAAAGATATGATGAAAGCCAAGCGAACTCAAGAGGAGAGAAGATAGTGAAAAGAAGGACAGGGCAGAGAGATTACAAAGAAGAAGAAACTCCTTTGCAGATATGCGATTGTTTGGTGGCTTCTAAAAGCTAAAGGCCATAGTCCAGGCAAGACCATTATCAAAATCTCTTAAAATCCTATATAATAAAAGCCTAAAATGCAAACTGTCCCCTTGGGCAGTTGTTCAACCGGGAGTTTGACCGCTCACTATGTTGTGCGCTGACCACCAAGGGGCGGTGTGGAACATGGCGGGCGAGCATCAGCGAGCAACGCACTGCAACCTCTCGCCGGCTATCTGGGGGCAGGGTTGACGGGGACAGAGGTGCAGTGAGGATGCAGGTGTCCCCGAGCTTGCTCTCACTCCCCCTGCTACCCTCCCCCAGGACTCTAGGGCTCGCGTGCCCGGGAAGCCTCCCCACGCTCAGGTGAAGGGTGCCCGCAAGGAGCCCGCCCCACACCCGCACAGTCTCTTTCGGGTGGGACCACAGGGGCTTCCTGTGGGTTCGTACAAGAGCTGGTCTACAAGGCCAGCCGGGAGAGAGCATGCTGCTCGCCCAGCTTCTATGCAGCACCGCTGGGCAGCCCAGAGGCCCATACTGCACCCTGGCCCTTGGCGTCCAGCCACGCTCACTGCACCTCCGCATAGGGACTTGGTTGCTGTGACTCAGGCAGAGGGGGGCATGCAGGCCCAGGTGCTGCCCAGGGCCCAGAAGTCAGCTGGGACCTGCCCTTCCAGGCCAGACAGTCTCGCTTTGATTGCTGGCCAGGCCTAGGGACCACACCCGTGCATGAATTTTGTGCACCAGGCCTCTAGTTATTAAATATTACCTTTGTGATCAGAAAAGGTAAGCATGCTATTTTCTATCTGAAAAAATATACACACATAGCTTATAAATGGAAAATGTGGAGCTCTTATTAAAAAGCACATCATTTAAGGGACATTATCTTTTCTAAAACAATCTGAAACAATAGGTAATTATAGCTAAACTGCAATAGGCCACACTAATGAAATAGGAATAGCAAGCATAGGCAATTCAATAAATATTTATAGTACTTCTTAAGTGCCAGGCATAGGGTAGGAGTATAATTTTTTAAAATTGTATCCAATAATGGTAAATTGATACAACCAGGGACTAGGCACATGACCAATTAGAATTGCTTGGCACATGGGTCTAATAATGCACATTCTCTGGTGACAAATATGTACAAAATGTACAGGTGCTTTGACAAAGAGGAGAAATGTTATTAAGCTTTCAGTTTGCTACTTAAAAAAATTTTGTCGCCCCCTCCCCCCCGTCATTTTGACCATTTTAAAGTGCATAATTCAGAGGTTTTTAGTATTTACAAAATATTGTGCAAATATCACCACTATCTAATTCCAGGACATTTTCAAACACCCCTACTAAAAAACTCAGTACCCTTACTAGTCACTCCCCATTTCTTCCCTCCCCGCCCCCGGCCCCTGGCAACCACCAATCTACTTTCTGTCTCTATGAATTTACCTATTCTGGACATTTCACATAACGTTCATAACAACTGAACCAAACCAGCCAGGGCAATTTTGCTTGTTTTTGAACATCACAGACATGGAGTCGATACTGTAGACCAGCATTGCACTAATTTACCCCAGAAGGCCACTTGGTGACTCTGATGGAACCAACGAGGTGTGCCCCTTTTAAAGACTTGTGGTTGGCACATCTGTACCAAGTTCGTCTTCCCAGGGCTTGAGTCCACTCTAACATTCACTATGAAGATAGGGCCGCTTTTGAGAGCAGGAATAGCACACAGGCAATTATTAATACATGTCTTAAGGGATTTAAAAATGATATCCTATTTCAGACTCTGGTCCCCCTTCCCTCTTATC